CAGGATGAGTGATCACAATTTATATATTTTGTTATGCTTAAAATGTGGTGATCCCCATTTTGATCTAGGTGATTCCTGTCTTAGAATTTTGAAAAACTGGCACATGATATAGCAGATCCTTTTACAAAATCACTAAATATATTGGAGTTGTGCAAATACCTGGAGAAATTACAGTAGTTTTGTATTTTGAAAGGGGGGGAAAGGATTAGAGTGATCTAAACAGTTTGCTTGCAATAAGATGCAAAATAATCTTAATTTTTATCCATTGTTTGGAAGGTACATCAGACAAATAAAGATTAGATCAAAATATAATTCAGGTTTAAATGTAGGTCATGTTAGATCAGTAATATTTTTGCCTGTCTTATGATTATTGAACTTGAGGCCACCACCTCTGACACCTGCTTCCACCCTGCTCTTGGCATTGCTGCCAGCATCCTGTCTGCCCATCGTCTGACCATGTGAACCGCAACCCTTGACACCCTACACAATAAGAGCCAAAGATCCAGTAGGTCAAAACTGCCCCTACTGCCAAGTGAGTGCAGTGTGTCCCCACACTGTCTACAGCAGCAACTCGTTCCCACCACAGCCTGCTGCCTCCCCATAGAGAGAGTGAACTTTGGATTGGGGGGGGGGGAACAGAGTGAGTCTTCCTCCTCACTTACCCTAGCCCTACTCCCCACTACTTCACTCTGCTCCTTCTTCCTTCTGCATTGCCAGCAGGTCGAGGGATGTGATCCTCCCCCTCTACTCAGCTCTGGGGAGTCCTCACCTGGAGTACTGTGTCCACTTCTGGGCTCCCCGGCATAAGAAGGATATGGAGCTACTGGAACGAGTCCAGTGAAAGGCTACAAAGAAGGTTAAGGGTCAGAGCATCTCTCATATGAGGAAAGGCTGAGAACTGGGACTCTTCAGCCTGGGGAAGCGAAGATTGAGAAGGGATCTTATCAACGTGTATAAATATCTGAAAGGAGGATGTGAAGAAGATGGGGCCAGACTCTTCTCCGTGGTGCGCCCTGACAAGACAAGAGGCAACAGGCACAAACTGAACCACAGGCAGTTGCATCTGAACATGAGGAAAACCTTTTTTATTATGAGGGTGACTGAGCACTGGAAGAGGTTGCCCAGAGAGGTTGTGGAGTCTTCTTCCCTGGAGATATTCAAAAGCCATCTGAACAGGGTCCTGTTCAATGTGCTCTAGAGGGCCCTGCTTGAGCAGGGAGGTTGGACTAGATGATCTCCAGAGGTCCCTTCCAACCTCAACCATTCTGTGGTTTTGTGATAGCAATGAGACTGTCACAGCTCTATGTCCCTAGGTCCATTCAGTTGCAAGGCTGAGCGTGAATTTGCAGTAAGCACCCCCACAGACACACATATACAACTTATATACACACACATCTGGCCACATAGTGTGTCAGCACTCACACAAACATGAACAACACCCATGGCCTCATCCTGTTCCCTCTCTGGCTGATCAGGAGGCAGGTCTGTAGTGGGACACATACACACATATGCACAATGTGGATCCCTCCCATAGCTAGGCTTAGACATTCAGTTTACTCAGTAGCTGCCCCTGGATCCCTGGTCTCTTAGTTGCTGGCACTTGGACTTATGAGCCCCTGAGGCCCATAGCTACACCATTTCTGTTGCAGTCCGCCTCATGCGCACCGACACACACTCAGAGACACGCTCCAGACCCTGCATTTAAAGGGACGGAGTCCGTCCAGAAGTGTATTCTGGTATTATTCAAGGTCCTCCACCTGCCATTGTCTCTCTGCTCCTTAGTGTGTGCAGAAGAGCTTTTTATTGCCTAACCTAACACTTTAGACAGTGAATAAGCTAATGCATTGAATCAAAAATAAAAAAACTGGATTAGGAAGTCAAAAGCTTTTGTTTGTTTAATACAGTAAAACAAGTATAGCTCTGCACTAAAACAAGTACAGCTCCAGCTATAATCAGGAATCTGGGGCAAGAGAAACTGTCTCCCCGGATTATGACATGTCTTTGCATGATATTCCCCCAATCAATTATCATTTTTTTACTACAGAAAATGTTTGACTATTGAATGAAAGAATATTCTGACTTGTGCTTAACAGATATTGGACTATATAGTAACACAGTTGGAAGGAATCACTGAGATAGTGGATAGAAGGTTCAAGTATGGGACTTCACCTATCAGAAATTTCTTTGTGATGCATGCTAAATCATGCAGATGGTCTGCTTTACGGGGATACTAGCATTTTTGTGCTTGGGAAGTTGTTGTGGAAACAAAAACATTAATGACAATGACATAGTCAGGTACTGTTGTTATAAAACAAAGCTGCATTTTATCCATATAGATGCTGTTATATTCTTCTACGTACTGTAAGAAGTGTAAAAGAGTAATTAAATTTATTTTCCGACTGCTCCAGCTCTTAAGGCCTAAAACAGTGAACACATACATGATCACAAATAAATCCTAATCTGGATGTCTGTGCCTCCCTATTAGACTAGGGAGACTTAATACAGAAGGATCAATGTGTAAGTTTGTTGTAAGAAAATGAAACAGTGCCCAAATTGTCAACAGTTTCTAAATCAGAGAATGAAGCATATGGCCTGCCGGTTTAGACAACTTCAATAGCTTGTAGTTTAGCTTTTGCACTCATTAGCACAAGACAGTCTTCATGAAAAGTTGTCCATCATTCAGTTGAAATTGCCTTCATCATCTTTTCATACTATCATCAGTGGACAATGGTGAAAGTTTCCTCTCTATTCAGAGGCACTGGTCAGTTATAGTTCTTTTCTGAGTACTTGCAGGTATGTTATGGATACAAATAAATACTACCAAAGAAAACTGGAACTGTAAGGCTACATAAAAGCCTGCACTTAGTCTTTTTAGGTCAATCTATGCTGATTGAAGTTTGTATTTTCTTTTACAAAAGCAGAACCATTTAACTATCAAATGGAAAGATTTTTGAATATACTTGAAGAATATGAACTTATGGGCTTTGATCCAATTACAAAGACCTGTATTTGGGATAGAATGTTTATATTTTTACAAAGTCTGATTCCAGTCAAGCTTAGTGAGAGGTGTGTATATCTATTTGAAGTGAAAATGGCACACTGGTACTATAGTGATACTATTGTATGTGTTTCTGACATAGCAGATATATTAGTAATGATTTCAATTTTCAGCTAGGAATTTCATATTTGTTTTTTGGTAATTTAGCTATTTCCCTCAGTTGTGATTTTCTGATACATATGAAAATTTTTTTTTTGGACAAGTAATATGTAACAATATTTGAGCTATAAAAAATACTACTTATTCTAAAATTATGAGTTATGTGACTTTGAACTCTTTTCAATTATAGCACATAAGTAACGCTTGAGACTGACCTGAAGTTTCAAAGAAAAGTCACTGTAGTGCTCTGATATTCTTGGAGTTTTTTGAAGGATGGCAGTTATTTTCACAGGGCTGGATCTTCATGTTTTAGTTAATAGTTAGCCTTAAGCAATTTTCTTCAAACTTCCATTGCTTCAGGGAACAGCTGAATTGGCTCTGATTGTATTTTCCACTCCAGAATACATAGCAAATTCTTCTATATGCCATATATTTCTGTAAGCATAGACTAGAGTGTGTACTTAAAAAAAGCAAAAATAATGTACAAAATTGTGAAAAAAAAATTTCCCACATAATCTTCTCTGCTCAGATACTTGTCAAGCCCAAGACTTGTATTTCATGTGCATTTCCTGTGTTTCACTTCAGAAATGCCTATGTTTCAGGATCAGACTTTCACCATGAAATTCACCTCCTTTTATTTTATGTGTCCAAAAGTAAAGTGTTTAATCTAAGTTTTCATCTATAGATGGGAGATGGGATTTTATCTAGCTTCTGACATTTAAAGTCTAGTTGTCTACATCTAAGGTAATCATCCAGCCTCTTTCTTTATTCAGAGATACTCACCTGCGGCAGATGGTTCCTTTTTATCCTAAGATCTCTACTGATTTATAGAGAAAATATTGACGACTACTTTAGAAGTGAATCTTTTAGATGGCTAAGTTAAATGATGTGACTTCTGCTCTGAGAATAGATCTTAACTAAAAGGCCATATAGGTGAATTCATTCATCAAAGAAATGCTCCCTTTCAATTTTAATTGCTCTTACAGTTCTGATGTATAGTAAGACAGATCTGATCCAAACAGCAAAAGCCCTGTCTAAATCTCTCAGCAGTGTGAATATTAGTAATCAGGCATGTTTGAAGGTCTAGAGCAAGCAACGGTAAACACAAGGCACCAGAACTTCAAAAGAATGTAGGCTATATTGACTTGGAACGTAATTAAAGCTAGCGTTACCATTGATCTGATTTTGAATTCAGTTTGACCCACATGCTTAGGAGGAATTAATTTAGAAGAATACTGATAAATAAATTTGTCTCCAAAAATAAAAAAAATAGAGCACAAAACTGTGGAGCATTCAATGGATATTTAGCATGAAAAAGATTACTTACAGGCTCAATTGCTAAACAGTTTTATGTGCACGTGAGTAAATTTGCTTATGTGTTATTGTCACTGAAGAACAACCACGTGGTAATAGTATATCTCAATTTAGAGTTTTGTCCACTATTCAGACAGTTTTTAGCATTATATTTAGAACTGCAACTACTGGCCAGCCTCGTCTATAAGGACGAGAATGTTGTCACAAAGAATGTCCCAACAAGAATGCTGTGATATAAGAAAAAGGAAGTAATATCAAGCAGCAACTTACAGCTCTGCTGTTGTGCTCAGCATGAGAACAAAATGTTCGGGCTGTCTTACTCCAGAAGTAAAACTGTATGTTTGACAGAAAATGGGAATATGTTTAACAGGGAAACCAACTTCCTATTCTATCTGTGTAATCCAGGCAGCATAACACATCAAGATAAGCAATACCATCTGTAAGGATAAGATTTGCTTAAATTACATTTACTGTTAGGGACAAGCACGTATTTGTGAATCATGCCACTGACTCAACTGTCTTAACCTAGGTATATAGGATTTCCCTGAAGTGGAACTTAATGCTACAGGTGAGGCAACAAGGGTCATTCAGTTTTGCCAAAATCTCATATTTTGTTCTGCAAACTCTGTGCTGTAATTAAGTCAGATCTAGAGGGTCCTATTTATACTTTACATTACCTGTGTTATAGTCCTAAGAAATGGATGTGAAAAAAGAGAAACATAATGAAGCCTATCTTGATAAATGCACTGAACAGAGATATGCAAAATCCACAAATTAGAGCCAGCATGGAAAGCAAACATTTCCTTTGATGCTTTTTTCTTTGTCTTCCATACTTATGAACACACAAGAAAGTGTATACTGTATATGTAAGTATGCATAATAATATGCAGTAAGTGTATTTGATCTACTATTAAAAAATATATATTCCCTTTTAAAATTCTCTTTTTGTATTATTAATACAGAAAGGCAACAGTGCAGTGGTGAGTGTTACTCCAGAGCTACTGGATTTGTCTTTTTGTACTGGATTTGTGATAAAAGCTTCAGCACTACAGAGCATTTGCTATTTAATTACCATCTGCACCATTAATTCCTTCTTGTGAGCGTGGAAATTGATTTTTTTTTCTCAGTATGTGTGGTTTCATATTATTCCCTCTTTGTACATTACCTAAGAATATAAAGTAGCTCCAGGAGAGTAAGAAACAGTACTACTATCTTTCACTTAAATATTTTAGTTCTTCCCTTTTAAAAATCATTTGAAATGAAAAAGCAAATATCACTCTTTGCAGCAGTTTTGTTTTGTTCCGTAAAATCTTTTGCACTGAATTTGTCTCCATAGTGTTTTACAAAGGTCTTCCAAAAAAACCTTAAGCAGAATGTATGTCATGCTATCTTCTCTCATCTCTTGACTTTTTTTACAAAAGTCAGTTTACACCTTGTTGTATGAACACTACTTGAATCAAATAAGAGTAAAAATAGTTCTTGTGCTGTGTTTGAAAGATTACTTCAAAATGTTTATATCTTTTAGTAAGTTAAAATTCTTCCTTGTTACTCCAAAATCAAAGAATGAAAATGGTTCATGTTAGGAGCTTTTCTAAAATCTCAGTTGCAATTGATTAGGTGAGTTCTTGGTAGTACAGTAATTTTATTTAGTTCATTTTTTTTTCATTACATATTTCAATACAGTACTCTGACAATATATTATAACTTTGTAGGGTTTTTTTGTCTATTGCATTTTACAAAGTACTGATGTTGCTATACTGAGTATGTGCTGAAGTCATTATTGTTGATAGTTACCACACAGTGAAAAGGAGAGTGATGTCACAAGATCCAGGAGCATTCTGTGACAGGATCTTTCATATGTTGCTAACTCTGGCCCTTCAAATGACTTTCTGACAGCATGATTTCTTTGGAAGGGAATATAATTGGGTATCCTTTTCTCTTCTCACTCTCTTTGTGGGAATCCCACTCTTCCTTTGTATTTTTGGTGGGTGTACAGATGATATGTTTGGAAATCCTCGTTTCCTCAGGTATTTTTTGTTGTAAGCAAAAGGTTTTCTTGTCATCTGGACATTGCAACAACCACTGCAATTGTTGTTTCAGCTATATCTGCACTTGTAAATTAAATGGGTCCAAGACTGTTCTCTGGGGCTGAGGCCAACTGACCTGTCTCCATGATCTTCTCCAAAATAGGATCAAAAGCACAATCTTTGCCTATACCCGTGTATGAATTGTGTCTGGGAATTTTGGGGAGATGGCTGGTTGACCTAGGCTGAAACCACACCAGGGCCATTCCAAAAATTTAACAGAATAGATAAATAAATTCTAGTGCCCAGGAACATTATTTCACACTGTTTACTAGTATACATAAAGCCATATGTCCCCATAGTTTGGAACCTTGAACTTTCTAGAGACCAAGCAATAGATAATATGGTTATAAGACATATGTAACATCTGTTGTTTGAAATACTTAAAATTTCGTAATGAATGACTATTTATTTTAAAGACAAAAACTAATTCATTATTTGTTAACTTTATACATGCACACGTAGAAATTGTTTCCAGTTAAGATGTTTTGCTCAGTGAATCATCAGGTCAGCGATTCTATTAATAGAGCATGGCAAAGAAATGATTTAGTCTTTCTGTCTTATAAATGCATTTGTCAAATTTGAAAGCATTAGATATAATTTTGAAGTCTCCATTACAATGCTGATTAGCATAAATTGTGCAAGTGATTAGATGGTGTGAATGGCCTAAAGACTTCATTTCAAATTCTAATATGGATAATAATGAAGTTTGGGAAGCCACATTTATCTGCCTGAGACTGATAAGTAAATGCAACCTAACATACAGGGATGTACCAACATTTTCTTCAATTTTTATCATAGCTATTTTTCATCTCTAGATTAGTTTATATATGTAAATATATGTACCTGTGCATGAAATAGATAGATGACTGCATATATTTGAACTGTGTGTTCACATATGATTTAGTATCGTTCAGATGGTTCAGCATAACTGCTATGAGTGTCTGTTTTAGCTTTTGAACAAAGCAAGTGTAACCTCTATATGTACAGATATGTAAGTATGTAGCTCAGCTGTACATGGCAGAATGTTAGTGAAGACCTGTAAGATGAGTATTTTTTTTTTAGCTCCTAATCAATCTATCCTGAATGTTTTCCAAAAAAGAACTACCTTTAGGGAAATTAATTTCAAATATTGCTGTGATAATAGATCTATATAAATACTGAAATATTAAAAAACTACTTTCCAGCAAAGGTTTTGGGGAGTTCACATGAGTTTCATGAGTTTCTGAGCATTCTATGCAAAGTAGCTGGTCTAAGGCATGAATCATATACTATTTCAATTCAAAATGTTGCTTCACTTCACTTTCATTTGCATATGCCTGGGTCCTTACTGTGTGGAAAGGATGGGTTCACATTGCTTTTCCAACGAGTGAAAATTTGAGTCATCTCACTTTTTCTCTCCTTTTTTTCTTCTGCATTTTAAAAAACATCCTTGTGCAGTAATATGCTGCACCTTTAATTAAATTCTGATATTTTAGTACTCAGATGTCTATTATGTATGTATGTAATGTATGTATCTAATGAATGTATATGAGTATATATTTTCACATCTTCTACTTCACAAATACTTACTGATAATGAAGACATTCAAAAAAATTAAGGATGTATTTGAAATAGAGAAATGTGCTTAATGCATCAACTAACTGAATCAAGTCAAATACTTTAGAATGAGATATAAAATATATATGTATTAGTATATATTTATACTATGTATCTGTATACGCATACAATTAATATCCATACACATACACACACACATGCTCAGACACACACACACACGAACGTATATATATCCCTCATATCTTATCCCAGTTTCTAGGGGCTGTGTACAGCTGCTGTATAAAGTCAGGTTGCCCACCAAATTACTTCTTCCTGTTGTTCCTGTGGTCTTGCCTACTCACATCTTTAATTGGTGAGGCTTGACCCTCAAGACATTCTTAATTTCCAGTCAGAAAAATTCGTACTGAATTTCTTACTGATCAACAGGGATGTAGATTCCATTGTAACTTATGCGCTTTCCATGACTGGTGGTTCTTTGATTTAAAGTAGATGTTATTTGTCATACTGACAGGTACACCTACTGCGAAATGCTGGCGATGAAGTTACCATCACCGTTCAGTACCTCAGGGAAGCTCCATCATTTTTAAAGCTCCCATTAGGTAAGGGGAAATTAATGGCTAGAAGTAATTTGTTTTCCTCCTTGCAGTATTTCTCATAATAAGAAGACATTGACAGAAATAGGAATTCAATCCTCGAATGTTTTACAGCAAGAAATAGAAAATTATTTATGTACTTTACCAGTTAACTAGTAAGATTCTAATGTCTACTGCATAACTGCTTCTGTATAGTTTCTTCAAAATAAACCTGAAAACTCACTAAAATGCAGTAAAATCATGGATGCTTTCTAAAAATTTTCCCCCCTGAGGTTAACTGAATATACTAAAGTAGTGTTTACAAATATTTGAATTCTACATTCAGAGTGGAAGTTATGGGGTTTTTTTACTCAGAAAGGTCTGGAAAAACAGCAGTACACTTACGCACAAAGAAAATGCATGGTATTATTTGTGTATATGTAATAAATTATGTTGATCATTTTAGTGAGCAGAATTATGACGTGCCAAGTGTGTAGTCTAACTGGAGGAATAGTAAACTGTTTATGAGCAATGCAGATGAAGGAAAATTTCTGTTCTTCTGGTTAGAAAATACTTACAAATATTGAAGATACTCACATGAAATCTAGATCATGTTGCAAGCACAAAAATGAGCGTGGTGTATCAGCTAAGTCAATCAGACCAAATGCTTTAGCACTATTTTATCTTATGTATGATTCGCTGTCTAAATTTAGCAAAATAGTTTTAAAATGTGTCTGTTGTTTGTGTTTTTATGTAAGTAGTGCTCAACTGTGTACTTACTTTTTCTTGATTTGAAGAGATCAAGATTTGTCAAGGTCTGCCTCCTGCGGTTAGAAAATGTCATTTCATCTAGATTTTTACACCTGTTATAAACAAAGTTGCCGGGCCTCTTCTAAGGTGAACTATACATTTCATCTTAAAACCATTATTTCACTTCTTACAGCTAACATTTCCTTTTGAAAATGTAATATAAATTCACAAAATTCAAAGAAATCCTGCCTTGAGATATCTTTGTCTGTTCAATGTTCCTTATAATGAGACTTTAGCTTTTGTCTTCCTACTTTTCTACCCTAGATCGTCAGATAGCTAGAGACTACTATCTATAATGCCTCTGATAATTGTGCCCAACTTAGGTATGATTTTACCAAGCTAGCAGGCTTTTATGAGTAGTATCTGTACTGTTGGCCATATTCTTATGTAGTTAATGATAGTAACATCGCCTTGGTCTTTAGCTGGAAAGAAGTGAGGCCCATTCTTGTGGCAGCTGTAGCAGTAGGTCCTATTAATATTTTTTTCTCATCTTGTTGACCGACATCACATATGTCTTTGGACTATCTAGCAGCCTTCATGAAAGGCCTACCACCATCACCAGGAGCACATGCAGGTTGAGGAATGTTGGTATCCTCTTGGCTGAGCCCAGATACACCATGAAAGAGAAGAGACTTATTTGACTTCTGCTTTGCCTTTCATATCAGAAGGCACTACACCTATTCCTAGCTGGGAGGCTGAAATCATGACAATCCTTCCAAGAAGTAGCAATTAACAGGAAGACCAGAGTGTGTTATATCTGCAGGTGACAAAATGTGGGTACAAAACTTATGTAGGTAAATCAACACTCAACATTTGAAGTAGGAATTTTTAGCTTACAAAAGCTATCATTCTAATTTAAAGGGCCTGCTTCAGCGCCTGCAGCTACCCAGCACTATTTGGAATCTGGCCCTGGTTACTGTTATTCAAGGAAGACCTGTTTGAAACAAGGAGACTACTGTAACTGTAGTGTTGTATGCATATACACCATCTATCCCTCTATGGTTACAGGGCATGTCACTGATGCAGTTTCAATCAAAATTGTGGTAGCTTGAACACTCAGAATAGCAATCTGTTCTTGGGCATGTCAATGACATTGGGATTCAAAGTTCACATATAATTTCCATAGCAAGCAAATCAGCTGTCTTGCTTTTGACTACAGCTAGAGTACAAGCCGTCATGAAGACAAGATGGAATTTCCATAGAGATGGGGAATTCAGACTGAAGTTGGAACTCAGTCTCTAAGTAATTTGGTAATATATACGTCTACATAAAGAGCCCATTTATGTTGGAACAATCTCAGTTTATGTCTAAAGTCCTCCTTTGCCAGTCTTCACACTGCCTATTTTTTAGTGTGGGCTAGGGTTCCCTAGATGTTCATTCTGAGAAAGCCCAGGCGTAGAGGCTGTAGAATGGTAGGGTAGTGCACACATTTTCTTAATGCAATGGCTATTCCACTACAGATTTTCTGAACGCCACGGGCTCATCATTCTTGTTCAATTACAGTCCTCCAGAGATGTCATGCATGGGTTTGCAGCCACTTGTTCTTCACCACAACTTCATTATATGTCTTTGTATATTTGTATATCACCCTCATCTGAACAGCAAAGAAGCAGCTCTCTCTCCTGGACTGTCTTGTTTCTGTTGCTGCACCAATGGTATACTGCAGTAAGGATCATCAGGAATTGCAAAAAAATATAGGAGGGTGAAGGGAAAAAGGGACAACAGAGCCATAGTGAATATCTGTGATGGGTGGTAAGGGGGTTGCTACTCCACTCTCTTTGGCAAATTTTCCCTGTCAGTAATACACTGCTATTTTAAAAAAAGCTATCAAGAAGCACAACAGAGAAGCAATGCTTAACTGAAAGAAACTGAAAAAGACATGTTGGATATAAAATGCTAATTTGGGGCAGTTTATTAGACCTGCCTCCCTCACAGCAAGCATGAAGAACTCTCGCAAGCATTATACTACCCTACTCACTCCAGTTCATGATCCCATGCCTGGAGTCTTATTCTACAGGGTCAATAAAAGGACTCTTTCAGAATGATCAGGCAGCTGAAGAACTTAAGAAATGACCCTTCTTCTGAACTAGATATGGACATCAGCACAGAAGTCACCTGCTTGTCTCCGGGATGGTCTGTGCAGCCATTCAGTATAGGCTGAAACCAAACTCAATGAACAAGATGATCTTTGGTAAATGACTCGACACAAGTACTCATTCTAGTGGTGAGTAGGAAGAAAATAAGGTCTCAGATAATCATGGAAAATAGATTGTTTTAGGGATGCACACTGACATTATGGAGATGAGCAGAAGTGGGACAAAGCACCCTATGTTGGAAGAGCTTTTCAGAAACCCATACACAATGGGGAATTCCCGTCGTGAAGCATCAGTGACACATATAACAGGCTAATTAATGATTATACTAAGCAATAAAGTACACTCCAACTCACACTACAGGCAAGATTGAAGTGTATACATGTATAACTGAAGTATCTTAGCCTTTCCTGGCATCCCAGAAGACGCAGGCATATAGTCCCTTACCTCTAAGCGTTCAGTCAGACCAGCTGCTACATTAGCAGTTTTAATATTGTGGTGTTTTCCCTTTGAATGCAACCATATGGTCTCTTACCATTAGCCAGTGTTATTATTATTACTTGTAAGTACATCCCCATGACTAACATTTGCCTCCCCTGATTACTTTTCATAGTTCTTCCTTCCCTACACTATCTCATGCAGTAGGCTATCAAAGGCAAAAGATGTCACAATAGGGAAATAGCTGCCTACGATTCTCAACGCGTTTGTCTGGTTGCTTTCGCATTTCATGGGTAATGAACAACTAATGCAGGATCTGGCATGGGCTTAAGCAAGGGTACTAACTAATTGGCACTGAGTAAGACAAGGACTGCTTGTTTCTTCATCTGGGGCAGGTCCTACCCCAACAGTGGTATGCCAGTGTTGGTAGAGATCTCTGCCTCTTTCACAGCTGCTTGGGACTTCTGGACCATACTAGAGTATTATGATTGTCCATCATAGTAAATTAAATCGTATCAGCAAATATTCTTTGGCACAGGAATTTGAACAGTAATGTTGTTAAAATATCAGAAGATACTTGGCATAGCTTGGGCTAGACCAAATATTTCTTTCTTAAACATCTACCAGGCCTGGACTGGAAGTTAGCATGAGGCACTCACCATTCCCAATAGTTTGGTTACAGCCTCCCTATTTTGGAGGTTAAGAGAAATGAACATGGCCAGAGAATTCCCATTGGTCTCAAGGCCAACAAACAGGCACTGACACTAATTCTTTTTACCAGTACCTGCTGACCTCATATAAAGTTGCGAAGTTTGTGCTGTAAGTAGCACTATGTGCTTGGCAGATTGGGTCCAGTTACCAATATATTGTATACTCTAAACAGAAGTAGAGATTGATGAATTTGCTGTCTTTGTCTCCACAGAAAAATCTGAGGGAGACATTTCTATTTCACCTTCTTATGGGTTACCCCATACCTCTCACCATGAATCCTCCAACAACAGACTATTTACCGTCATATCCTATGGAGGTCATGTTCCTTGAGCACAGATAGATGAGGAAAGATCCCCCATCTATCACGTCCCAGCAGAATTTGGTAGAACTAGAAGATGCCAAGGTGCTAACGGTGCTATCTTCACAGGGAACAGCAGCAGCAGGTGGACCCACTCCAGCAGAAATAATCAGGAAGAGCTAGACCAGCCTATAGGATGATTCATAGGCGAGAAAGATAAAGCAGTAGTTGAATCAGGAAGTCTTTTGTCTGAGACCCCAAATGCTCTTCCATGTGGCTTCAGCCATGGCAGAGGAGTGAAAGGAACAGGAGTAGGTGCTTCCAGATGCTAAGGCTGATGGTGGCACAATCTACCCCTCCCTGGGTCCACAATGGTTAGCTTGTAGGAATGTAGCCACAGCACCTGCTAATATAAATTCAGCCAAGAAGACCTTGATTCTTGGGGGAGGAGTTTTTTTTTTTAATAAAATTAAAAATATAATATATTATGGGAAAGTAGGACACTTGATTTTTTCTTTTTGACTAGATGCACTTTTTTGTTTTTAAATTTGGAAACAAAATGCTGATAAGTAACTAAAGTTGTGTCTTATGTTTATCCATGGGTTCCAGGGGCTCCTGACATGTTAACTTCTCCAAGACATACAGCTTTGTGGCCTTGTGGCCACCTCTAGTCAAGG